GGGATAGAAGATGTGGGCTGCCTTGGGGGTACCCACAGACACAGATCAGTCCTTTTTTTGATAGGTCCCCAGCTTCGCCATCATCCACCATCTGAGCCAGAAACCTGGCCCTGAACCTCCACCCACCCCACCCTCCAGCATTCCCTCCTTGGCCAGGTTACCAACACCTGGTGAACCTGCTCCCCTCCCCTCCCCACAGTCCAGCCTCAGGCCCTCCCATCAGATTGCCTCCTTCCCAGAGGGCGAGTCCCCCTTCCAGCCCAGGCCTTGAGTGCGGCCTCAAGGTTATCTTTCTGTCATGAAATCGTGCCTCCAGGGAGAGAGGCCCGGCAGCTCCACTACCTTCCAGAACCTGCCCGCATGGCCTGAGCCACCTTTCCAGCCTCATCTGCAAAGCCCTTCCTCCACGCATCCACCCCCTCCCAGGTCAACTGTGATCATCGTTTCCTTCATGCCTCTGAGCCATTGTTTATTCTGTTCCCTTCACCTGAAATGCTTTTCCTGCCCCTGAGTAGTGAAATCCTCAGTGTTTAAGGTCAAAAGCAAATGCCTCTTCCCACCCCATGTCTGTCTCCTTGAAAGTACGTCTCTCCTAGGGAAATCTGTATCCATCAGGGATGGCACCTAGGTGGAGACTAGCATCACCCTGACCAGTGATCCCTTAAGACCATGGCATTTGGAGGGGTCACTTTCTGGAGGGAGAAGAGAACGCCTGCAGAACCAACCAGAGGACAGTGGAGGGGACAACACAGGAGTGCTTGGGAGAAGGGTCAGGGAGGCCAGAGCCCTGGAATATTCTGGAACCTTTATGGGTCTCCATGTTGTGGTTTTTTTTTGTTTTTTTGTTTTTTTTTTTTGCTCTGTGTGTGTTTCTGAGTGGTCAGAGGTAAAGAACTGTGTAGGGAAGAGCCCAGCAGGTATTTGGAGGGACAAGAGAGCCAAAGAGAAAAGGGCAGCTCTTCTCTCTGAGACCTGAAGTGTTTCCTGGCACTGCCCCCTGAGCCTGACAGGGAGTTCCTGGAAGGCAAATGTGGAATCTGAGGGTCTCAGCCAGGCAGGCCCCCAGCTTTGACCATTCACACCACTATCCCTCCTGTAAGCCCGTTTTTGCTCAGGTCAACCTGAGATAGGTCTGTTGCAACAACAGTAATTGGTACCAGGAGTGGGGTGTCTCTGATACGTCCTAGGGGCATTGCCAGGTCCAGTAGCCATTCAAATGTGTATCCACAGCTGCAGCACTGTGAGAGACTTCACCTAGTCTCTCACCAAGTAGAACCCCCAATGGGAGGGCTTGGGGGGCCCATTACCCCTCTGACTGGGTCTTCACTCCACAGCGGGCTGGTTACTGAACCTGCAGCATTTGACATTGGGAGCGCAGATCGGAGAGGGAGAATTTGGAGGTGAGTGGCGGACTGGGTTGGGGGTGCTGAAGGAAGGTGGGAGGTGCATATTGAGGCTTTGCAGTCACAGAGCTGAATTCAAACCCATACTTAACGACCTACTAGTTGTGCAACTGAAGACATGCAAATCCTCTGAGCCTCAGTTTTCCCCTCTGGAACACGGGGTAATGGCAGCTGTCATGAGGGGTCAATGAACTCAAGCAGTCAATGTTAGTGACTTCACACTGCCAGGGTCTTGTATGGTCAGTCCCTCTGTTTGGAATGTTTGGAACACCATTCCCTGAAATTATTATTCTGGAAGGCTCTGGGGTTTAGATCAGGGGTCAGCAGACTCTCTGTAATAATATTTTTTGCTTCGTGTGTCAGGGAGCTGCTGTCACAGCTGCTGAATCCTGCCCTTGTGGAGTGAAAGCAACCACAGACAATATGTAAACATATGGGCGTGGCCATGAAAACTATGGCCCAGAAATTTGAATTTTGTATAATGCTCACATGTCCTGAAACAGTACTCATCTTTTGATTTGTTTTTACAACCATTTAAAAATGCAAAAACCAGACGGGCGCCGTGGCTCACGCCTGTAATCCCAGCACTTTGGGAGGCCGAGGCAGGTGGATCACAAGGTCAGGAAATCAAGACCATCCTGGCTAACACGGTGAAACCCCGTGTCTACTAAAAAAAATACAAAAAAATTAGCTGGGCGTGGTGGTGGGTGCCTGTAGTCCCAGCTACTCGGGAGGCTGAGGCAGGAGAATGGCGTGAACCCGGGAGGCGGAGCTTGCAATGAGCCGAGATAGCGCCACTGCACTCCAGCCTGGGCGACAGAGCGAGACTCCATCTCAAAAAAAAAAAAACAAAAAACAAAAACCAGCCAGGCGCGGTGTCTCATGCCTGAAATCCCAACACTTTGGGAGGTTGAGGCAGAAGGATCCCTTGAGCTCAGGAGTTCAAGTCCAGCCTGGGCAACATAGCAAGACCCCCATCTGTACAAAAAAAAAATAACCAGGCACAGTGGAGCATGCCTGTAGTCCCAGCTATTCAGGAGGCTGGGATGGGAGGATCCCTTGAGCCCAGGAATTTGAACCTACACTGAGCTGTGATCACGCCACTGCACTCCACCTGGGTGAGAGAGTGAGACCCTGTATCAATATTTTAAAAATAAAAATGCAAAAAACATTTTGAGCTCAAAGGTCTTGCAAAAAGAATTGACAGGGTAGATTTGGACCCTGGGGGGTGGAGGTTCACAGACCCCTGGCTTAGATGGTTCTCTCTTTGTTTTTATTTTTGTTTTTTGGTTTTTTTTGTTTTTTTGTGGTTTTTCTTGAGATGGAATTTCGCTCTGTTGCCCGGGCTGTAGTGCAATGGCGCGATCTTGGCTCACTGCAACCTCCGCCTCCAGGGTTCAAGCGATTCTCCTGCCTCAGCCTCCCGAGTAGCTGGGACTACAGGCATGTGCCACCACATCCAGCTAGTTTTGTATTTTTAGTAGAGACGGGGTTTCTCCATGTTAGTCAGCCTGGTCTTGAACTCCTGACCTCAGGTGATCTGCCTGCCTCAGCCTCCCAGAGTGCTGGGATTACAGGCGTGAGCCACCGCGCCAGGACCAGACGGTTCTCTTTGATCTTGGGTCTGGAGCTTGTGAGGGCGGGAGGGATGGGGAGCGTGGGGGCTGCGTTTCAAGGTCTGGGGACCCGCAGCTGTGTGAGTGTTATATGGGCACCGGTGTGAGCGGGCCTGTCTGTCTGTCTCTCTGTCGCTGTTTGTTGGGGGTCCCGATCTCACCCTGTTCCCCGCCCCCAACCCCAAGCTGTCCTGCAGGGTGAGTACCTGGGGCAAAAGGTGGCCGTGAAGAATATCAAGTGTGACGTGACGGCCCAGGCCTTCCTGGATGAGACGGCTGTCATGACGTGAGTCCCGGGATGGGGGCTGGGGACCCTGGGATGGGGGGTCCCAGCCCCGCCCTCACGCCCACCCCACCGCCCCCAGGAAGATGCAACACAAGAACCTGGTGCGTCTCCTGGGCGTGATCCTGCACCAGGGGCTGTACATTGTCATGGAGCACGTGAGCAAGGTGGGGCGGGGCCCAGGCGGGGAGGGGGTCCCACATGGCAAAGCAGCCCTAATATCCCCCACGGCCGTCTCCCACCCCCAACAGGGCAACCTGGTGAACTTTCTGCGGACCCGGGGCCGAGCCCTCGTGAACACCGCTCAGCTCCTGCAGTTTTCCCTGTAAGTGGGGCTCTCAGGGTGCCGGGGCGTGGGGGTCGTCGGGGGGCAGATTCCAAGATCCATCAAGGGGAAACTGAGGCACGGGGCAGGGAGGCTTTCTGAGCTTGTGGCCCAGGCACCCAGAGCTTTCTGAGCCGTGAATGCAGGCGTCCTGGCACCTGAGCCCCCACTGCCCCCTGCTCCCCCCAGGCACGTGGCCGAGGGGATGGAGTACCTGGAGAGCAAGAAGCTGGTGCACCGTGACCTGGCCGCCCGCAACATCCTGGTCTCCGAGGACCTGGTGGCCAAGGTCAGCGACTTTGGCCTGGCCAAAGCAGAGCGGAAAGGGCTGGACTCGAGCCGCCTGCCCGTCAAGTGGACGGCGCCCGAGGCTCTCAAACACGGGGTGAGCCTCCTTCACACACCCCTGGGGCTTTGGGGTCCCCCCAGCTCTGCTGTATGACCCTGGCTATGTCACTTGGCCTCTCAGAAACTCCAAGGGCAATGGCTCTGCCTCCCCAGGAAGCTCTTGGCCCGTAATTGTTCCTTGTAGCTTCCCTCTGGGCCTCAGTTTCTCCAGCTCTGAAAAAGGCATGGGCTCAGGACTGAGGTGAAGAATGACCAGGCTTCCTTCATGCATGAAGGCTGAGCTAGACTCGATTGTGGGCGGCGTTGGGGGAGGAATCAATTAGGAGACCGGAGAGTGAGGGTCAACCCAGGAGGGCTTCCTGGAGGAAGCAGAGGCTGGAGCAGAAACCCTGAGGGGTCCCTCCTCACCCCTGTCTCGGGCCCCACAGAAGTTCACCAGCAAGTCGGATGTCTGGAGTTTTGGGGTGCTGCTCTGGGAGGTCTTCTCATATGGACGGGCTCCGTACCCTAAAATGGTGAGCGGGGGCCCCAGGGAGGCACTGGGTTCCGGGCAGGTCCAGAGGCTGTGGCCCTGACCCCTGCCCACGCCTGCCGTCCGCAGTCACTGAAGGAGGTGTCAGAAGCCGTGGAGAAGGGGTATCGCATGGAGCCCCCCGAGGGCTGTCCAGGCCCCGTGCACGTCCTCATGAGCAGCTGCTGGGAGGCAGAGCCCGCCCGCCGGCCACCCTTCCGCAAACTGGCTGAGAAGCTGGCCCGGGAGCTGCGCAGCGCGGGCGCCCCGGCCTCCGTCTCAGGGCAGGATACCGACGGCTCCACCTCGCCCCGAAGCCAGGAGCCCTGACCCCACCCGGTGGGGCCCTTGGCCCCAGAGGACCAAGAGAGTGGGCAGTGCGGCGTGGGGACACCGGCCAGGCCCAAGGAGGGTCCAGGTCGGCAAGGCATCGTCCTGGTGCCCACGGCAAGGGCTGGCCCGCGTAAGGGGCTCTGGGCGGACCGTGAACACCCCAGACCTGCGAAGGCGAAGGATGATCGCCCCGATAAAGACGGATTCCAAGGACTGTAGGCGCCTGTGTCTCTCTCTGTGTCCCCATGCCCTCTTCCCCGGAGGCCACTTTTGGCGATCTGCTCTCAGGACACCCCCAGGCGCCAGGCATCCTGGGTCCTCCCGTAGAGGTCCACCCCCCCACCTGGATGCCCTGTGTGCCCTGGCCCCAGCAGTCACCTCCCTCCTCTGTGGAACCCACTGCAGCCCACATGATGGGATCAATTAATTGGGACCCCACTGATCCTTGGCCTTGTCTTGGGCATCCACCGGCCCCAAGCCCCTGCCTCCTGCAGCCATGTGCCTGCACACGGGGCCTCCGCATCTTTGCCCATGGAGGATCCACCCAGCTGGAACCTGCCCGCTGGCCACTGTGGGGACATCGTTCCCCGGGGAATTCTGGGCAGGAGACCCACTTGCCATTACCCGTGGGTTCCCCACTGCAGTCCCCCAGGGGATGCTGTATTCAGTGGTGGGGATCCCGTGCCAACCCATGGGATCTCGGGAGGCTGCCAGCAGCCCTCAAGGTCCAAGTCTCCCCTTCCACCACATCCCTTTCTCAGGCCCCAGCCCTCTACATCCCTATGGGAGCCCCCATGATGGCAGCCCAAGGAAGGTCTGTGTGTGTGGCAGCAGCCCTGTTTAGGGATGGTCTGGGGAGGCCACCCTCCTCCTCCTGCCTCCCCCATTCATGGGCAGCCACCATGTTGAGCACTTTCAGGTCAAATCCCCAAAATGCTGCTGGAGGTGAGTGCCAAGATTACACCGATTTCACAGACGCGGACACTGAAGCCCAGAGAGGGCAGGTCGCTCACGCTGGGTTGCCACAAGAAGATATGGTAGAGCCTGGATTTGAATCTGGGCCTGTCTGGGTCCACAGCCCAGGTTTCGTTCCCCTCTGTTCCCGCTCCAGCCTCTCCCACTTCTGCATGTCCCTCACTTCTGCTTCTTTCATCATGGTCTGAACCAATCATGAAAATCTCACCCATCACCCACCCATCCACCCAGTATCTACTCATCCATCCATCCACTCAATCACCATCCACTCATCCATCCATCCACTCAATCACCATCCACTCATCCATCCATCCACTCAATCACCGTCCACTCATCCATCCATCCACTCAATCACCATCCACTCATCCATCCATCCACTCAATCATCATCCACTCATCCATCCATCCACTCAATCACCATCCACTCATCCATCCACCCACCACCCACCATCCACTCATCCATCCATCCACCCACCCACCATCTACCCACCCACCATCCACTCATCCATCCATCCACCCACCCACCATCCACTCATCCATCCACCCACCCACCCACCATCCACCCATCCGTCCACCCACCCACTCATCCATCCACCCACCACCCACCATCCACTCATCCACCACTCATCCATCCATCCACCCACCCACCCACCATCCACTCATCCATCCATCCACCCACCCACCATCCACTCATCCATCCATCCACCCACCTATCCACCTATCCATCCACCCACACATCATCCATCCACCCACCCACCATCTACTCATTCATCCATCCACCCAATCACCCATCCATCCATCTACCCACCATCCACTCATCCATCCATCCACCCACCATCTACTCATCCATACATCCACCCACCCAGTCACCCATCCATCCATCCACCCACCTATCCATCCACCCACACATCATCCATCCACCCCCCATCCACTCATCCATCCACCCACCATCCACTCATCCATCCACCCACCATCCACTCATCCATCCATCCACTATCCACTCATCCATCCATCCACCCACCCACCATCCACTCATTCATCCATCCACCCACCATCCACCCATGCACCCACCCTATTCATTCATCCATGTGTCCATCCACCCACCCACGCATCCACCCACCTATCCATCCACCCACCCATCTACCCAACCATACACCCATCCATCCATCCACCTACACATCTACCCATCCACTCATCCATTCACCTATCCATCATCCACCCACCAATCATCCATCCACCCACATACCTATCATCCATCCATGCATCCATCCACCCACCCATCCACTTGTCCGTCCACCCATCCATCCATCCATCCATACACCCACCCATCCACCTGTGCACCCACCTATTTATCCATCCACCCATGTATCCACCCATCCACCTACCCATCCACCAACCAATCATACATCTACCATTCACCCATCCACGCATCCATCCATCCATCCACCCAGCATCCACTCATCCATCCACCCAATCATCCACCATCCACCCACCTATTCATCCATCCACCCACCTATTCATCCATCCACCCATGTGTCCATCCACCCATACATCTACCTGTTCACTCACCCATCCACCCATCCACCTACCTACTATCCATTCATCCATCCACCCATCTACCTATTCATCCATCCATCCACCCATCCACCCATCCATCCATCCACTCACCATCTACTCATCCACCAATCATCCATCCACCCACACATCTACCATCCACCCACCTATTCATCCATCCACCCGTGTCCATCGACCCACACATCTACCTGTCCACTCACCCATCCATCCATCCATCCATCCACCTACTATCCACTCATCCATCCACCCATCCATCCGTCCACTCACCATCTACTCATCTACCAATCATCCATCCACCCACATATCCACCATCCATCCATCCATCCACCCATGCATCCATCCACCTGTCCACCCATCCATTCACCCATCCACCTACCATCCACTCACATATCTGTCCACCCATTTATCTACCCATCATCCATCCACACACCCATCCATCCTTCCATTCATCCATCCACCCACCCATCCTCCTGTCCCCACCCATTCACCCATCCATGCATACATCCATCCATTTATCCATCTCCCCACGCATCCATCCCCCACCCATTCCCATGTCCATCCATCTACCCATCCATTCATCTACCCACTCATCCACTCTATTCATCCATCTCCCCATCCACTGTTCCATTGATCCACCCACCCATTCATCCATCCCTTCATCCACCTACCCACCCACCCACCATCCATTCACACATCCATCCACCCCTCCTCTTCACTTAACAAAGCCAGGCTGAAGGAGGTGTCAGAGGCCATGGAGAAGGGGTACCGCGTGGAGCCCCCCAAGGGCTGTCCAGGCCCCGTGCACGTCCTCAGAGCAGCAGCTGGGAAGCAGAGCCCACCTGCTGGGCACCCTTCCACAAGTTGTCCGAGAAGCTGGCCTGGGAGCTGTGCGGCACGGGCGCCCCGGCCTCTGTCTCCAGCCTACTGTGCTGGCCCTCTGGGTACTGAGTATCACCGCAGCTGCTGCAGTGACAGCTCTCAGATGACACTGTCCTTGGACAGAGGCAGTCCAAATGTCCAGGGACCTAGCAGGCTGACCCTGTGACTCTGGGGGACAGAATGGCAGGGAAACACTGGCCCTCCTGCCCACTCTGGCACAGTGGGTCTGGATCCACTTTGCACATGCAGGTTCAATCCTGACTCGCCCCCCAGCTGTGTGACGCTGGCCCTGGGGTGACAGCCCTGGTTTGCTCAGGGCTGAGGGCTGTTCCAGGGTATGCGACTTTAGAGCTAAAACCGGGAAAGTCCCGGGCAAACAGGGGCGAGGCGGCCCCTACTGGGAAAACTTTTTCCCTCTCTAGGCCTCAGCAGCCTCCTCCAGTCAACGGACACCTTTTCCTAGAGGGGCAGGAGGGCCCCAAGGCCCACAGCAGTGAAGGGAGGGGCACCTAGAAGGCAGGCATATAGCTGGTGCCCCATTATTGCTGGGACGGTCCAACACCTGTTCTCAGTTGAGTCTCCCATGGAGCCAGCCTTGAGGATACACAGAAAGGAGTCTCTGGCCAGGCTGGGCACGGCCCCCACTCCAGGACTCCCGGGCCACCCTCCCATCCTGGCCAAGCTGAGACACGGAAATGTCCCAAGGTCATGTCAACCTCCTATGCGGCCCCGTTAAAGCCCCGCACACCCTCGGGCCTCACTTTCCTCACCAGCACCGGAGGCAGGTTAGTGGTTCTGTCTGGGGGATAATTGAAAGGTGAAGGCTGGAGGGGCCCGGCCCCTGCCTAATCCGCCGCGGGGGGCCACCTGTCCCCTGGGCCCTGCCTGCCCGGCCCACACTCCTAATCCGGCCCTCTAAGCTGACACAGCGTCTACAGCTTTTGCCTGTCCGGCTAAGTCGCCCAAAGCCCCCCCCCCCCCCCGCGCCTCATGCCACGATCCTTCCTGCGGCCTCTTAACCCACACTGGCCAATTAGTTAATTGGGGTCTGAGATCTGAAGCAGCTCGTTAGCGCTCTAAAGTGATGAAGCAATCAGGGCAATTCTCTCTCCCCACCCCGCGGCCCTGTGCCTCAATGGGCAACAGGCCTGGCTCCGCCCTGGACCCAGAGCCTGGTGGGCCCACCTTGCCAATGGGCAGCTGAGGCCGGGGGAGGCACCTGGAGCCTCAGAAGCTGCAGCTGCCCCTCTGGCCCGGGCTTGAACCCCTGTGTCCCTCTGCACCTTGCCCACCTGAACTTGGCCCCTGGCATTGGGGAGCTACACCCGGATCCAGAGTCGAAGCCACCTGCCCCCTGGGTTCTGACCCGGACTCCTCTGGGGCCTGGGCACCCGGTTTCTCGTATGTGTGTGTGTCACGCCTTCCTCTGTCTCTCTTTGTGTGTCTCTCTCCCTTCAAAGCCAACATGCCAACATTCCGGAAGGATCTCTCTCTACTTCACTTTGCACCCGCCCCTTCACCCATCCGCAGGTCTGGGTGTCCCCTCACTCCACCGCAGTCACCTCCCCCATGTCCTCCGTGTCACTAAATCAAGCCTCCCCTCATCTCCCCTTCCCACTGCCCCTGGAGTACCCTCTCCTTTCCGTGTTCAGGGCGCTCCCCTGCCTGAGCCCCCTGGCTCCTTGGACTTGGGGGGCACTGGTCTCTGGAGCTTTCCTGGAGCTCACTCCACCTCTCAGGCCTCCGCCTCTGAAACAGTCCCACCTCACAGTCCAGAATGCGCCTGGACATCGCCCTTGCACCTCCACGCCCACACCCTGCCCCTCTCCAACTTCCTTCCTGTGGAATCGCTACCCCCTCCCTTCTGTCCTCCCCATCCCCCAGCCCTTGGCCTGACCAGGCCCTTTAGCCTCGCCTGCCGGGCACCTGCCCTTGGTTTCTCAGCTGCTCATCATTGATGTTTGTATAAAATGCCAGTGTGTCCCTGCTCCACAACCTCCCATGGCTCCCCAGCACCCCATCCTTCACACCCCATGTGTCCAGAACTTGCGGCTTTGCACTCCATCTTCCATTCTCACCACCTTCCGTAACATAGCAACCTGGCTGGGCGTGGTGGCTCATGCCTGGAACCCCAGCAGTATGGGAGGCCGAGGCAGGTGGATCACCTGGAGTTGGGAGTTCAAGACCAGCCTGGCTAACATGGTGAAACCCCATCTTTAGTAAAAATACAAAAATTAGCCGGGCACGGTGGCTCACGCCTGTAATCCCAGCACTTTGGGAGGCCGAGGCAGGCGGATCACGAGGTCAGGAGATTGAGACCATCCTGGCTAACACGGTGAAACCCCGTGTCTACTAAAAATACAAAAAATTAGCCGGGCGTGGTGGCAGGCACCTGTAGTCCCAGCTACTCGAGAGGCTGAGGCAGGAGAATGGCGTGAACCCGGGAGGTGGAGGTTGCAGTGAGCCAAGATCGTGCCACTGCACTCCAGCCTGGGCAACAGAGCAAGAGTCTGTCTCAAAAAAAAAAAAAAAAAAATGACCTGGGCGTGGTGGCAGGTGCCTGCAATCCCAGCTACTCGGGAGGCTGAGGCAAAAGAATCGCTTGAACCTGGGAGGTAGAGGTTGCAGTGAGCCAAGATTGCGCCACTGCACTCCAGCCTGAGCAATAGAGGGAGACCCAGTCTCAAAAAAACAAAAATAGGCCAGGTGCGGTGGCTCACATCTGTAATCCCAGCACTTTGGGAGGTCAAGGCGGGCAGATCACGAGGTCGGGAGTTCGAGACCAGCCTGGCCAACATGGTGAAACCCTGTCCGCACTAAAAAATACAAAAATTAGCTGGGCGTGGTGGTGGGTGCCTGTAATCCCAGGTACTCAGGAGGCTGAGGCAGGAGAATCGTTTGAACCCGGGAGGCGGAGGTTGCAGTGAGCTGAGATCTGAGATCACGCTGCTGCACTCCAGCCTGGGTGACAGAGCGAGACTCTGTCTCAAAAAATAACAAACAAACAAACAAACAAAAGAAAATAAAATAGGAACCCACCTTGTCCCCACAGGCCCCTTCCCGTGGGTTTTCTCCCCAGGCTCGTGGCCACTGGCCACGCTCTGCATTTTAACACAGTCGCTGGTTGTCTGTTTGCCCCGCTAGAAAGTCAGCCCCGTGTCTTCTGTCTGTTTTGGTCACTACTGCTGTGAGCAGTACTGGTACACAGTAAGTGCTCAATAAGTGCTTGTTGAACGAATGAATGGTGAACTTCTTTTTCTTTTTGAGACGGAGTTTCACTCCAGCCCAGGCTGGATTGCAGTGGTGCGATCTTGGCTCTTGACCTCAGGTGGTCTACCCGCCTCAGCCTCCCCAAAGTCTTGGCATTACAGGTGTGAGCCACCGCGCCCGTCTGTGAATGGTGAACTCCTATTCATACCTCAAGACCCAGTTAAAAGGGCCTCTGCCCCTTGTGTCCAGAAGAGCCAACTGCAGTGCCTTCACCTCTGGGACCTCAGCTTCCCCAACCCCCTCTGACCTCTGTGAGTCCTAAGATACCTTTTTCTGCCCCCAGCAGATAAAAGTATTAATAATGGGCATTCATCAAGTGCCCCCTGTATGCCAATTTCTGTGCGATGCTCTGAGAAGCTGAAATCCCCCCAGGGTAGGTCCTAGTGTGGCAGTTTTACAGCCAGGGAAACTGAGGCCCAGGGAGGAAGAGCCCCGTGGCATCTTATGGCGAGGGGCGGTGGAGCCTGGCAGACTATCCCCCCAGCCTCCACCTGGAGCTGCAGCCCTCCGCCCACCCTGCCCTCCCTCCTGGCTCAGGACAGCCCGGGGACCGAGTGGGAGGTGCCGCCTCAATTAATCACCTTGAGCTAATCCTCCCCCACCCAACCCCGACCCGGCTCAGGTCTGGCAGGGCCAGGCCACAGCAGATGCGGCGCCGGGCCCGCTGGGGCAGGTGCCCTGTGGAGATTGACAGAGGGGCTGCCGTGGGCGGTGAGTGCGGGGTGGGCACTGGTGGGCCTGCGTGGGAGGTGGTGGGGGGCAGAGATCCCCCCCAGGGTGGAGGGCTTAGGGTGTGAGAAGGGATCCTGCCTTCCTTGGGGGGGCAT